GGAACTCTAGAAAACCATTGGCCAGGATTGTTTCCTCTCTCATTGCAGTTTTTGTTATGTTTTTTAAATAACATTATATAAACATTTTTATGATTTACAGAATCAAGCTTATTGATTGGTGAATAAATATATTTTCAATAAAGTTCGTAAATCAAATTGCTCTGGCGGGGCCTAAACTGTTTTTTTAATAGTACCAAATTTGGGAATCGGAAATAAATAAAATCAATAATAACATCTTTTCCACATAGGAGATGTACATGAAACATATATAAACACAAAATTTAAAATAAAATTTATATTTATTTCTATAACTGGGTTAATATAAACACGAGTTTTTTATATTGCTCACTGTATTCAAGTATTAAAAATCATAATATCGTCAACGCATCAAATTATTAATTTGAAAATTATTACAATAACTATTCAAACAAAAACATACGTTACTTCCACAAGAAATATTTTTCAGTAATGCGACACATCACAAGAAGTTGACGCTAGCAAAAAACCGCGTCACAGAATGTACGCAGGAAATTTGACTGATGACTCAGTTTACTGCCGCTTGCTGACTGAAAACTCACTTTACTGCCGCTTGCTGAGCGCTGACCACGTCTTTACTGCCGCTTGCTGAGTGAAATGTCGTTCATGTACGCAGGAAATTTGACTGATGACTCAGTTTACTGCCGCTTGCTGACTGAAGACTCATTTTACTGCCGCTTGCTGACTGAAGACTCGCTTTACTGCCGCTTGCTGAAGGCAGTTTATGTCCACCTCCCACGCACTGGTCACTTCAAGCCCCTCTTGTCTACGTAACTTTACAGATCCTTGCTCTACGGTTGTTGACCGTACAGTTGTTTGCATGTCAATGAATATGAATTAATGTCTAATACATGTATTAATACACGTGTTAATGCACGACTTAATACACTAGTAATTCGCGTGTTAATTCATGTGTTATTACCCGTGTTAATACACGTTTTAAGGCACGAGTTAATGTACGACTTAATACACTAGTAATTCGCGTGTTTATTCATGTGTTATTACCCGTGTTAATACACGGGTTAAGGCACGTGTTAATGTACGGTTTAATACACTAGTAATTCGCATATTAATTCATGTGTTATTACCCGTGTTAATGCACGGGTTAATACACTAGTAATTCGCGTATTAATTCATGTGTTATTACCCGTGTTAATGTACGGTTTAATACACTAGTAATTCGCGTATTAATTCATGTGTTATTACCCGTGTTAATGTACGGGTTAATACTCTAGTAATTCTCTGTGTATTAACGTGTTAGTATCCGTGTTTAATTCACGGGTTAATGCACTGATAATAGACGGATTAATACACTAGTAATTTACGTGTTAATACACGTGTAGTTACACGTGTTGATACATTAATAACTCACATGTATTACACGTATTAATACCCGTGTTAATGCAGGTTTTAATACGTGTGATCATATGAGTATTAATACACGTGTTAATGACGCTGTTTTAAAACGATTGATTCTGGAAGCGGAATCAAATTTTTCCAAGATCGAAAGTTTTGTGAATCTGAAGTTGTTGAATAATTATTAAGCGCTAATTAAGAATATTAATTTATGTAGCGTTACATTCTTTACAAATAAAGAGCGAGTGAACGTAAGCAAAACGCCATATCGCATGAACCTTAAATTCAATTCACTCAGTGTGGGATTTGAATAATCTACTTTTATCTACTTACTTTAGAATAATCTACTTACTACTTTAATCTACATGCACAACTAAAAATATAAATATTTTTGTCCTGTAGTCAAATTCCTTCCTAATACGTTAGGATAGTACGATATGATGGTTTTGTTCAAATCAATTTTTCAAAATTGATGCCATTTCATTTTCCAAAATTCCATTTCAGCTAAGTTTCCTCCATCATAAATACAACAAGATTCCTTCAATAGATGATAACAAATCTAAACTGCACCAAGCAGTCAGTGCTATTCTTACCGAAATTGCACATTATTGAAGCTAATAAATAGTAAACTGCATGCACATATTGGCTGCAGTGCTATTCTTACCGAAATTGCACATTATTTATGTAAACAAATTTAAACTGCATGCACCTGCAGTGCTATTCTTACCGGAATTTCAATTTAAACTACACATTGCCTTCAGTGCTATTCTTACCGGAATTTCATATTATTTAATGGAACAAATTTAAACCGCACCTTGTCTTTCAGTGCTATTCTTACCGGAATTTCAATTTAAACTTCACCTTGCCTTCAGTGCTATTCTTACCGGAATTTCATATCATTTAAGCGATGAGGAGCCTGCCGTTCACCACTGCCATGTTTAAGAGAAAGTGTTTATGTTGACAGTTGCGTTGGACTGTAAATAAACGAACTATAATAGGATTAAAAATAGGATTAAAATCTTCACTGTCAGAGTGCCCAATTCTTTCCTTTTCCTCTATTTACCTTCCTTTTTGTATGATAATTGCTAGCTAAATTTATCTTTAGAAGGTTGTACGTCAACCTGCCGATCAGATCACATTATTTTAATGATATTAATGGAATGCAAGTTAATGTAGACGGGCAAAAATTTACATAAACAAGAATTGATCGCAGATCTTCTTCAAACGAAATTAATATTATATTATTGTCATTTGGTATTGTAATTGAGAGAGGATGTAGTTTTGTTCAAACAGAAGCCCCCAATGGTTTTGATTAATTTAAAAATTTTCGCTATTTTTTAGAAATTTTATGAATTCATGGCAGTTTAGACGTATTTCTGACAGTGGCTCGTAGCATGGATACGCAAATGGCTTTATTCATGCAACAATTTGGTCTGCAATACAATTAAATTTAAATTAAATTTTAGTGTATTTCTGACACTATTTTTTGCAGGGAGATGAAAATAGCGTTTGTCACACATTGCTTTGGTCATTAATACAAAAAATTTAAATAGTTTTTTTTGCCGTATTATTGCTTGTGCCTTACAGCGTGCACAATAAAATTGCTTCATTTACACATCAAGTTAAGTTGTAATACAATAAATCCAAATACGTATTTTCTAAATAAGTTTCGGATGTGTAAAAATCATATTTCTAGCAGTGGCCCGTAGCTTACGGGCCACTGCCACGGGCCCGTATGCAGTGGCCCGTATATGGGCCAGAACATTGCATACGAGCCCGTAGCATACAACCGTCTGCTATAAATCCTGATGTAGACTAAATTAATTCTAAATTTGTATTTAAAAATGGTTAAACCGTAGCATACGTAGCACGAATGACGGGATTAATTCTATATTTTTTATTTAAAATAGTTAAACCGTAGCATTCGTAGCACAAATGACGTGCAGCATCCTTTTATGGCAAATTAATTCTAAATTTGTATTTAAAATTGGTTAAACCGTAGCATACGGCTGTCCAAATGACGTACAGCATCCTTTTATGGCTCGTGGCAGAGACGAAGCAGCGTCGGCGACACCTTCAGGTCGTTTGCAGGAGGCAGTAGCTGGGGTGCGGTGCTAGGGCTGACTGCTGTATAGTGTGCACTCTCTCAACTCTGAACTTAGTTACACTCTGAGCACTCTAGCTGTACATTATGTGCTCTCTGCACGCTCTGTGCACTCTAGCTGTACACTGTGTGCACTGTGAGTACTCTAGCTGTACAGTGTGCACTCTCTCAACTCTGAACTTTGTGCACTCTGAGCACTCTAGCTGTACATTTTGTGCACTCTGTGCACTCTATCTGTATAGTGTGCACTCTCTCAACTCTGAACTTAGTGCACTCTGAGCACTCTAGCTGTACATTTTGTGCACTCTGTGCACTCTAGCTGTACATTTTGTGCACTCTGTGCACTGAACTTAAAGCACTCTGAGTACTCTAGCTGTATACTTTGTGCACTCTGAGCACTCTAGCTGTACACCTGTCTCTTATACACATCTAGATGTGTATAAGAGACAGCATGCGTGTAGCGTGAACACGCATGACACCGACACCGTAACACGCATGCGTGTTGTGATAACACGCATGCGTGTAGCGATAACACGCATGCGTGTAGCGTTAACACGCATGACACCGACACCTGAACACGCATGCGTGTAGCGATAACAGGCATGCGTGTAGCGATAACACGCATGCGTGTAGCGATAACATGCATGCGTGTAGCGATAACACGCATGCGTGTAGCGATAACACGCATGCGTGTAGCGATAACACGCATGCGTGTAGCGTGAACACGCATGCGTGACATTTTGTGCACTCTGTGCACTCTAGCTGTATACTTTGTGCACTCCGCACGTTAGTGCACTCTGAGCACTCTAGCTGTACACTTTGTGCACTCTGTGCACTCTAGCTGTACATTTTGTGCACTCTGTGCACTCTAGCTGTATACTTTGTGCACTCCGCACGTTTGTGCACTCTGAGCACTCTAGCTGTACACTTTGTGCACTCTGAGCACTCTAGCTGTACACTTTGTGCACTCTGAGCACTCTAGCTGTACACTTTGTGCACTCTGCACGCTCTGTGCACTGCATTCTGTACATTCCGCATACACAGCATATTTTGTGCACCGTGGCGGCATGAATGCAGTTTTAGAAAATATTTGTGTAATCTCTTAAAAAATTTCACAGCTAGTATAAAATATTACTATTTTTAACATTCGAGTTTAATTTGTTTGTAACAACAAGACGAATTACAATCTGAGTACTTAAAATCAATGTTTATGACTTTCAATTCGGATTGCCTAACTGAATTCAATCGCAGTCTGTGGCGCTGAGAATTTTTTTATTTTCTCAAAATTCGCTCAGCATGTGAACAAGTAAAATTAGTTTTCATCGGTAAATAGTTTTTTTTATATTCTGTTCATTTTTATTCTTCACACTGACTGGCTGGGGCATTATGATTTCCTTCCGATCAAATTCATTGTTTATTAAGTATTAGAAATATTGTCATTATTGTGCCAATTTTATTAAATCTGGTAAGATTTAATTTATATATGTAGGTAAGAATTAATAAATTTAATTTTAATTTCAGTGGTAACGTATATTTGGTTTCTTCTGTGTTTTGCACAAGCAGAAATGGATGACGACCAGATCGCAAGTAAGTGACTTCAATTAACACATGGGATTTACTTAAACTAATTTTACATTTTTACATTGCAGTTTTCATTAAATTTCCATTATCTCACTTGATAATTTGAGCACTACTAAGTTTAAATAACTGAATAAATGTGAATATGTCTGTCGTCTTTATGCCATCAGTAGATCCTATTAACGCTTACTGAATTAACCCTTAAAATTGTCCAACACTTTAAAACCTTGAACAGCAGAAAATTTTTAAGCAAGTAAGCTTAACAAAAAAATTATGAATATATTTTATGTTTTTAAAGATGCTCTCATTTTACTTTACATTTTACTTTACTTTACTTTACTTTACTCATTTTACTGTTAATGGGATTAATTAATAACGAGGTCTCGGGACTAGGAACCTAAATAATAACGAGGTCACGGAACTAGGAACCTAAATAATAACGAGGTCACGGAACTAGGAACCTAAATAATAACGAGGTCACGGAACTAGGAACCTAAATAATAACGAGGTCACGGTACTAGGAACCTAAATAATGTCTAGGTCACGGGACTAGGAACCTAAATAATAATGAGGTCTCGGGACTAGGAACCTAAATAATAATGAGGTCACGGGACTAGGAACCTAAATGATAACGAGATCACGGGACTAGGAACCTAAATAATAACGAGGTCACGGTACTAAGAACCTAAATAATAACGAGGTCACGGGACTAGGAACCTAAATAATAACGAGGTCGCGGCACTAGTAAACTAAATAATAACGAGGTCACGGGACTAGGAACCTAAATAATAACGAGGTCACGGAATCACGGAACTAGGAACCTAAATAATAACGAGGTCTCGGGACTAAGAACCTAAATAATAACGAGCTTACGGTACTAGGAACCTAAATAATAGCGAGGTCGCGGCACTAGTAAACTAAATAATAACGAGGTCACGGGACTAGGAACCTAAATAATATCTAGGTTACGGGACTAGGAACCTAAATAAACTGTACAAGTAAATGTAAATTTTTTAGATGCGCGCAACGAGCTGCGAACTGTCAAGCTGCGCCCGCCTACTATTTTAAGACGGGAATGTTTACAAAAAACTTTAAAGGGATACTGACAACAGTCTTATCTTAGTCAGCAGCTCTACTTTTACAGTAATTAAGACTTAAGTAGAGTTTACATTAGTCTTGGTCAGAAGCTCTACTTTTACAGTAATTTAGTAGAGTAGAGCTTACTGACATCAGTCTTGTCTTAGTCAGTATAGCTCCGCCTTTACAATAATTATTCTACACTTCTATTCTATTCTATTCTATTCTATTCTATTCTATTCTAAGACTTTAGTAGAGTTTACTGACAACAGTCTTATCTTAGTCAGCAGCTCTACTTATCATTAATTTAAACGTTATTAAATATTAAGCTATACGATAGAGTTAATTAAAATATCTCATTAACATATCACATAGTGAGCAATAAAACTATTTATTAAGGAGTAAAAATTTTATTCACATAATTATATAGTTAATAAATTAACAAAAATCTTGAAAATAATTAAGTATTTATCGCTGGAGAATCTCAATTATTATTTTCTAGATATAATATAGATTAAATTTATTATTCTCTATTTCTATTAGCTAGAGAATTGTCCAAAAATATATATTATTCTAATATATTTATCAATTTACAGCGATGCGGAAAGTGTTCGCAATGTTCGATCAGGCGAAGACGGGCTTCGTAGAGACGAACAAGTTCGTGAACATCCTGAACACTCTGGGCCAGAACTTTGATGAAGATGATCTGAGTGCTAAGATAGAGGAGGTCGACTCTGAGAGTGAGTGCTAGACTAGAACTAATGCTGTGCTAGATCTATTGCTATACTACAACTATTGCTGAGAACTATTGCTATACTAGAACTATTGCTATGCTAGAACTATTGCTGTACTGGAACTATTGCTATACTAGAACTATTGCTATACTAAAACTATTGCTATGCTAGAATTATTGTTATACTAGAACTATTGCTATACTAGAACTATTACTGTACTAGAACTTGCTATACTGGAACTATTGCTAAACTGGAACTATTGCTATGCTAGAACTATTGCTATGCCAGAACTATTGCTATACTAGAACTATTACTGTACTAGAACTATTGCTATGCTAGAACTATTGCTATACTAGAACTATTGCTATACCTGAACTATTGCTATGCTAGAACTATTGCTATACTAGAACTATTGCTATACTAGAACTATTGCTATGCTAGAACTACTGCTATACTAGAACTAATGCTATACTAGAACTATTGCTATACTAAAACTATTGCAATGCTAGAACTATTACTGTGCTAGATCTATTGCTATACTAGAACCATTGCTATGCTAGAACTATTGCTATACTAGAACTATTGCTATGCTAGAATTATTGCTATACTAGAATTATTGCTATACTAGAACTATTGCTATACTAGAACTATCGCTACACTAGAACTATTGCTACACTAGAACTATTGCTATACTAGAACTATTGCTATACTAGAACTATTGCTACACCANAAATTTCTGAATAGGAATTTAATCGGACGGTAAAGCACACACCGTGGAACAGTTCACGAAATCGACATAATTTTTCTTCAACGTCAAAGGAACTCTAGAAAACCATTGGCCAGGATTGTTTCCTCTCTCATTGCAGTTTTTGTTATGTTTTTTAAATAACATTATATAAACATTTTTATGATTTACAGAATCAAGCTTATTGATTGGTGAATAAATATATTTTCAATAAAGTTCGTAAATCAAATTGCTCTGGCGGGGCCTAAACTGTTTTTTTAATAGTACCAAATTTGGGAATCGGAAATAAATAAAATCAATAATAACATCTTTTCCACATAGGAGATGTACATGAAACATATATAAACACAAAATTTAAAATAAAATTTATATTTATTTCTATAACTGGGTTAATATAAACACGAGTTTTTTATATTGCTCACTGTATTCAAGTATTAAAAATCATAATATCGTCAACGCATCAAATTATTAATTTGAAAATTATTACAAGAAATATTCAAACAAAAACATACGTTACTTTCACAGGAAATATTTTTCAGTAATGCGACACATCACAAGAAGTTGACGCTAGCAAAAACCACGTCACAGACGCTAACTAATGACACTTTTTACTGCCGCTTGCTGACTGAAGACTCGCTTTACTGCCGCTTGCTGACTGAAGACTCGCTTTACTGCCGCTTGCTGACTGAAGACTCACTTTACTGCCGCTTGCTGACTGGAGACTCACTTTACTGCCGCTTGCTAGGCGCTGACCACGTCTTTACTGCCGCTTGCTGAGTGAAATGCCGTTCATGTATGCAGAAAATTTGACTGATGACTCAGTTTACTGCCGCTTGTTGACTGAAGACTCACTTTACTGCCGCTTGCTGACTGAAGACTCGCTTTACTGCCGCTTGCTGACTGAAGACTCACTTTACTGCCGCTTGCTGAGCGCTACCCATGTCTTTAATGCCGCTTGCTGACTGAAGACCCACTTTACTGCCGCTTGCTGACTGGAGACGTCTTTACTGCCGCTTGCTAGGCGCTGACCACGTCTTTACTGCCGCTTGCTGAGTGAAATGCCGTTCATGTACGCAGGAAATTTGACTGATGACTCAGTTTACTGCCGCTTGCTGACTGGAGACGTCTTTACTGCCGCTTGCTGAGTGAAATGCCGTTCATATACGCAGGAAATTTGACTGATGACTCAGTTTACTGCCGCTTGCTGACTGGAGACTCACTTTACTGCCGCTTGCTGACTGGAGACTCACTTTACTGCCGCTTGCTGACTGGAGACTCACTTTACTGCCGCTTGCTGACTGGAGACTCGCTTTACTGCCGCTTGCTGACTGGAGACTCGCTTACTGCCGCTTGCTGACTGAAGACTCATTTTACTGCCGCTTGCTGACTGAAGACTCGCTTTACTGCCGCTTGCTGAAGGCAGTTTATGTCCACCTCCCACGCACTGGTCACTTCAAGCCCCTCTTGTCTACGTAACTTTACAGATCCTTGCTCTACGGTTGTTGACCGTACAGTTGTTTGCATGTCAATGAATATGAATTAATGTCTAATACATGTATTAATACACGTGTTAATGCACGACTTAATACACTAGTAATTCGCGTGTTAATTCATGTGTTATTACCCGTGTTAATACACGTTTTAAGGCACGAGTTAATGTACGACTTAATACACTAGTAATTCGCGTGTTTATTCATGTGTTATTACCCGTGTTAATACACGGGTTAAGGCACGTGTTAATGTACGGTTTAATACACTAGTAATTCGCATATTAATTCATGTGTTATTACCCGTGTTAATGCACGGGTTAATACACTAGTAATTCGCGTATTAATTCATGTGTTATTACCCGTGTTAATGTACGGTTTAATACACTAGTAATTCGCGTATTAATTCATGTGTTATTACCCGTGTTAATGTACGGTTTAATACACTAGTAATTCGCGTATTAATTCATGTGTTATTACCCGTGTTAATGTACGGGTTNATTACCTCATTACCTGTCTCTTATACACATCTAGATGTGTATAAGAGACAGGTGCTATTCCTACCGGAATTGCACATCATTTAATCGAACAAATTTAAACTGCACATTGCCTGCAGTGCTATTCTTACCAGAATTTCATATTATTTAATCGAACAAATTTAAACTGCTCCTTGTCTTCAGTGCTATTCTTACCAGAATTTCATATTATTTAATCGGGAAAATTTAAACTGCACCTTGCCTGCTGTGCTATTCTTACCGGAATTACATGTTATTTAAGCGAACAAATTTAAACTGCACCTTGCCTGCAGTGCTATTCTTACCGGAATTTCAATTTAAACTGCACATTGCCTTCAGTGCTATTCTTACCGGAATTTCAATTTAAACTGCACATTGCCTTCAGTGCTATTCTTACCGGAATTTCACATCATTTAAACGAACCAATTTAAACTGCACATTACCTGCAGTGCTATTCTTACCGGAATTTCATATTAGTTAAACGAACAAATTTAAACTACACCTTGCCTGCAATGCTATTCTTACCGGAATTGCACATTATTTAATCGAACCAATTTAAACCGCACCTTCCCTGCAGTGCTATTCTTACCGGAATTGCACATTATTTAAACGAACAAATTTAAACTACACTTTGCCTGCAGTGCTATTCTTACCGGAATTTCAATTTAAACTGCACATTGCCTGCAGTGCTATTCTTACCGGAATTTCATAATATTTAATCGAACAAACTTAAACTGCACCTTGCCTGCAGTGCTATTCTTACCGGAATTTCAATTTAAACTGCACATTGCCTGCAGTGCTATTCTTACCGGAATTTCAATTTAAACTGCACATTGCCTGCAGTGCTATTCTTACCGGAATTTCAATTTAAACTGCACATTGCCTGCAGTGCTATTCTTACCGGAATTTCAATTTAAACTACACATTGCCTTCAGTGCTATTCCTGTCTCTTATACACATCTAGATGTGTATAAGAGACAGGTATTAAGCCATTTCACAGATGAAGAGAAACATCATAATTTCAAGTCTATATTTCAATCATAGGTTTGAAAAATTTAAATTTCTGAAGGTATCAACCTGAATTATCAACGAGTAGGAATTTCTATGCATAATTAGATGAAATTAACAACCGAAATTTCAAAATCGGTAGTTTCGTTGAATTTAATAACGTTGAGCAAACTTATCATTCATAATTGCATTATCACGTCAAATGATCTGATGGTATGGAAGCTTTCTCTAATTATCTTACTTACTTACTTTCTTTATCAACTTCATCTATCTTCGTCTGGAGATCGTATGAAAGCTTACTCTGTTTATCTTACTTTATCTTACTTACTTTCTTTATCAACTTCATTCAGCAGCTCTACTTTTACAGTAATTAAGACTTGAGTAGAGTTTACTGACAACAGTCTTATCTTAGTCAGCAGCTCTACTTTTACAGTAATTAAGCCTTGAGTAGAGTTTACATTAGTCTTGGTTAGCAGCTCTACTTTTACAGTAATTAAGACTTAAGTAGAGTTTACTGACATCAGTCTTATCTTAGTCAGCAGCTCTACCTTTACAGTAATTAAGACTCAAGTAGAGTTTACTGACAACAGTCTTGGTCAGCATTAATTTGAACGTTATTAAATATTAAGCTATACGATAGAGTTAATTAACATGTCTCATTATCATATCACATAGTGAGCAATATAACTATTAATTAATGAGTAAAAATTTTATTTACGTAATTATATAATTAATTGATGAACACAAATTTTGAAAATAATTAAGTATTTATCGCTGGAGAATCTCAGGGATGCTTTTCTGAAATTAGTATATAAATAATAAATATTCTAGTTTCGTCTTAATAGAAAC